ACAACCCCGTAACAATATGCGTTTTGTACTGCTGTTACACAGCACAAAACGCATAAAAATGAAAAGTCGCTTTAATAAAAGAAGTAATTAATTCACCGGAAGGAGCGCGAAACACATAATGTAATAAAATTGTGTTTAGGGTCAAACTGTATTCAATGTAACAAAATTGTGTAAAATTGTGTTAGGATTTTGTCCATACTCAAAAATCTTCACAAACATTCACTCCCCCATATAGTGGTAAAAGTTACTCAGCTCCGCTAGAATTTCAGTACAAATAGCTACCAACTTTTTCGACTCAACAGCTACATGTGCATAAGTGTTACATGTACGTATACACAGATGTATGTGTTTAGACAAAATGTAGTGATCAGTAATAATTCAGTAAAAGTCAATCTTCTGATGCAGATACATATTACTCGGCTAAGAAACAAGAGGCTGGGACTCCCGTAACTTTTACGCCTCAATTCACTTCCTCATATAGAAAACTGCTGATCAAGCCGAATAAATGTGCCTCACCCGATAATGCCGTGGCACAAAAAACGTACCTCATAAACAGGCACAACATCAACTGGTTGCAGGACCATTTTGAGAACGCGACGCAAATCGGCTGGATAATTTGTCTGCAGCTGATCGGCAACACCGCTTATGCACACAAACAATCGATGGATAAGATCCGCAGAGGAATGAAAACGAGCACGTAAACGACGCGGATCTGGCGGACGTGTCGCACTGAAGCAGTTTTCTATATTGATATTTGCCTAATTTGATAAATGAAACAGCCGACTGATTAAATGGATAATTGAACCTTCAATAAGAAATGTTGATCTGCAGGAAAACTAAAAATTACGATCTCAAAACTTTCGGAAAATGTGAGTCGAGGAAAGCTCAATCCTTCCATCTAAGCGATTCCTCAACCAACAGGGAACAACGCAACAACGAATAACGCCCAACATGTTCACAGTGTAGAACAGAAAATAGGAGGATCAGCTGGTGCCAATTTCGTTAACTAATACACGTACACGGAGGTAAACTAGAATGCTCAGCCTCTATAAATGAACAGCAATGCTGCAAATGAGCATAAGTAAGAAACTGTTGCTTTTATCATTCTGTGAAGCATCTATGAGCTTATCTCCTTCCTTTCCTCTCCGGCTCTCCCTTCCTCATTCCCCTCTCTCTCGCTCCCTTCGTATCTTGCGCCTTTTCATTTAAGCTGAACCGCTGGGATGAGGTTAAGTCAAAAGAAAAAATTGGCCAACGCACGGGCTGCCCGTGCAAAGATGCGTTTTTTGCATGGTTCCCCGCAGTTT